TGGACCAGCTGAATGACCACCTTCTAATGCTAATACTGCTTGGGAGCCGTGTCTGCCCTTTTTGGAAGCCTCAACACCTCCAATTCTGGACCTCGATCTACCCTGTCCCCCTTGGGCCACCTAGTGCATCCTCTCTATTCACTTAAGTAATACAGAAACCTTAGCGTTATCCTTGACACCACCTTCTCCCTCACCTCATTTATCTAAATCCATTACTGAGTTCTACAGATTTTTTAAAGTAACAGCTTTATTGAGATATAATTCACGTACCATAAAATTCACCCTTTTAAATGTACAATTCAATAGTTTTTAGTATAGTCACAGAGTTATGCAACCACCACTATTATCTAATTCCAGAACATTTCATCACCCTCAAAAGAAACATATACCCATTAAGCAGTCAGTCCCCATTTCCCCTGACCCCCAGCCCCTGACAACCTAACTAATCTACTTTCTGTCTCTTGGATTTACTTAGTCAAGGCATTTCGTATAAATGGAACCATACACTATATGGCTTTTTTGTGTGGCTGGCTTCTTTCACTCAGCATAATACTTAAGGTTCATCTACGAGTATGTTGTAGCACGTATCACTACTTCATCCCTTTTTATGGCTGAATTAATATCTCCTTGTGTGGATAAATCACATTTTGTATAACCATTATCAGTTGATGGACATTTGGGTTGTTTCCATTTTTTTTGGCTATTATGAATAGAGCTGCTATGAACATTCATGTAGAAGTTTTTGTGTGGATGTATTTTCAATTCTCTTGGTCACATACTTGGGAAGCTCTATAGATTTAACCTACTAAATAGCTCTTTAGAAATGTCTATTTCTCTCCATCTCTAAGCTACCAATATCTCTTATCTGAACTAAAGCAATAACTAGCCTCCTGTCTTCTTTTCTCCATACCTCTTCTCCACTGGGCCAGTAATCTTTTCAAAACAGCAATCTGATCAGGTAAACACCCTTCACCAACATCCCTGAGGTCCAGAAGGCCTACCATCCAATCCAGGGCCTTCTTTCAGTTCCTTGAGCCACATTCCCCTCCCCAGGTCCTTGCACAGCCATTTCATCACCTGGAAAGCTGTTCTTTGCCTGATTGACACCTACTCAACTCTCAGCGCTCAGCATAGGCATTGCCCTCAGGAAAACCTTTCTCGGTCTCTCTGACTAGCCTGGGCTCTCCTGGAGCCTCCTACCTGTCCTTCAGTGCATTCTGTCATAGCTGCAGTTCTCCATTTGTCTGTGTGATTGCTTGATTATTGCCTATCTGCCCTCAAGACCATGTCTGCTTTTGTTCATTGCTGTATCCTCAGTGCTGGTAGTTTTTGGTACTGGTAGTTTCTTAATAAATAAATATTGGTGAATAAAAAAATTAACACCTGAATACATGAATGAAGGTGGTCAACAAGACAGCCTTACAGAGTTATCAAGTGACCCCCTCATGAAATAAGCATTTGAGGATTGTTAGATGGCAGAATGTGTGATTATCCTGAACAATCAAAAACTTGACATTTTTCATACTGTTTTATATAGTATACTTAAGAGAACAGGCCATTTTCTGCATTATTATTGAAATCAAAATACAAAATCATATTAAATATAGAACCAGATTAGAGCTATGTCTTTCTATGGTTAAACCCAACTCTGGTAATTTCATTTCAATAAAACAATGTCATCTGTCACATTAAATTAATGTTCATTTGTAGTTTTCTGATTCTGTAGTTTTATTTAATTTGAAGGTTCAATTTGGTTTTAGGGTTGAATGAAGTAGTTAAACATGAGTACTTCCATCTAGATTTATGTTTAAATGTATTTACGTAACAATACAATAAAATAAAGTAACACTAGGTGTCCATGAGAATTTTTTTGTTTTAGAAACAAAGTCGATAACATTACTCGTTGAATAACACTGATGTATCAGATGGGGAGTTAGATCGTATTGTTCTCTTAGATCCTCTCCACCTATGATATTCTATTATCTCTATCTTATAGATTGAGAAGCTAAGGCACAAATGGTTAAGACTCTGAAGCTATATCAAAGGGATTCAGGAGGGGGTCAAAGGAGAAAACAAGACATCCTTATACCAGACAGTAGAACAGAACAGGTATTTTTAACTGACAAAGCTTTCCTAACAATAATGGTCCTAAAAGCATATCAAACAGAGTGAATTATTTACAGCATCTCAAAAATCTCCAAGGAAGAACTAAACACCAAAACGTTTCCCAATATTAAATGAAGGACAACATTCCCCAGCTTCTGCTAAGCCATATTTGGTTACATATAAAAAGTCAAATGACTTAAACATACTTAACACTTATGAAGGCCAAATTAATAAAGCAAATCTAGATGTATTCAAAAGCTATCACCAATTCTAAAGTTAGCTTTCAATATATGGCACTTTCTAGGGCTTAGGCCATTTTGGTCAGTTAGCTGTTTCACCCTGAATACACCTGGTGCTTTGGGTCAAAGCACCAGGACCCAAACTTGCTGATTCCTTTCCTGCCTCTTCTTCCTCTTCGTCAATCATGTTCATTATCCCTGCTTTAACACCAGTCTCAAAGCTAATTTCTTCAGTGGGCTTTCTGGCCTAATTCCCACACCCCATATTTACTTCTGCACTTTGCATCATCCACATTAAATTATCCTGCATGAGTCCTAAGGTGTGTTGTAATTACCTTCTTGTTTCTTGCATCTAACCCCAACAAGACAAACAGGTTTATTGAGAGAGGGACTAAGACTTCTGTACGTAGTTCCAGAAGGCCTGGAAGTAGGGGCTCAAAAAGTACTTACCAATGGGAAAATCAGGGTGTTATCATATGGGCCTATTTCATAACTCCTCATCTTTTGTTTTCACATTTAGTGTATTCGAAGACATGGTAAAGCAATGGAAAACCAATAGTTTTTCATCAAGTTAACTACTTTGAAATGTTCAGGAGAAAAGACATTTAAATTCCAATTCTTTGCTTTTGAATGTCCCAGGAATTGGTTTTTATAACAACTCTTAATATTAAAAATATTTTAGAAAACAGAAGTTGAAAAGGCTTTGCAGTATGTTAGCAATCTGAATGATAACAACAAATTGATTTTAGTAGCAGAAATGAAATACGACACCTGGAGCAGCATTTAAACCTGGATGTGTATAAACATCTATATCTTTGTGTCTGAACAAAATCAACTTCAAGCTCATTTAAAAATATTCTATCTGAAAAACCTGCACAATCTAGTTAATGCACATTTTTTGAACTGAGCATATAATAAAGACAACTTATCATTTTCATATACAAATAAACATACTTCATCTTTTACTACCAAGGTCTGAAGAAACGACAAGATTTAAAAAAGAATAAACTCATAGTTTCTGCTTTTTAAATAACTTGGGGTGGTAAGAGTTTGGATATATAATTCTAATACTGTATGTTATTTCCATACAGCATGAGTCTTCAAGTTCAAATAATAAATCTTTCCCAATGCTAAATGAAACAAAACCAATTTTTAGAGTATTTGTTTAAAAGGTACAAGGTAAGCATTTTAGACTGATTTCAATCAAAAAATCCTTTGTTTAGCAAATACAATTACTATGGTTGGTAGTAATACTAGTAACCTAAAAATAAAACAAGTTATATCTGGTTTCATTGAATAAATCATTACAAATACAATTTGTATCCACAATAAAGGAGTCTAAAATTTAAAAATAAAATACTCTCTTTCTCCCATGGGGAAAAAAAGTAAGCTTCTGAAACACTATATCTATAAATAAGAAGATTAAATAATATGCACTATCAACAAGAAATAAGCAATAACTCTGCTATAAAATGCGAACCTAAAGCCAAGAATCTTCAATACCCACATACTGGGGACACTGCAGTTTATTGATCTACAGTCAGATCTTTTGGCCAGATGTTGAAGCAGAAATATAAAATAATGTTACTGCATTCCTACTAGCAAAGAGAATACTAAATTAGCTCAAAAAATACTTTATGAGAAAATAACAAATTCCTCCCCTTCCCCTACAACACGGGACATTTTCTAAAGGGGGGAGGGATATCTACATAAATAGTGCAAAACAGATAAGATACCTTCGGCCTCTTTGATGCTGCACAGCTTGACAAGCCGTTTGCATGAATATAATTCCCTTCAATTCAGGAAACTCAAGGATCTCAAAGTAATCTTGAACAATTTTCCAATCTGGGATCATGTAATGAGTCACATCACTAGACAAGAGTTTCCCATCTGAAGTATAATTCAAAATGCAAGAGATTAGATACATTTGCAAACCTGGTTTATTATTATTTCAATGTCATGGAGCCCCCCTGTGCAAAATAACTTACAATCTTAACTGCCCCGTGAAGTTTTTAAATGACAAGAGAAGACTAATCTACTTTAGTAGAGGCCCAAAGTTCAGGTAAATTCAGCACCTTCATTTTTCTGAAGCTGTGATAAATAAACGCTCAACGTGGTTTATGGTGCTGCAGGTGGAGCAGATGACTGCTTTTTTTAAAAACAAACAAGCACATCCTCAGCACAACCTGAATATTTCTGTATTAACTCATTGATATACACCCACATTCAAATGGGGCACCTTAAAATTCACATGTTAACCACTTGTTTCTGCCAGCAATTTCAAGTCGGTTCTGTCTCAAGTTTATGAGCATGCTCAGCAGTCTCCAAGGGCCAGAATTGACCAGAAAAGATGCTCAGTGCAAACAGGGGCACTGTTAAGATTTCCACCCAGCCCATGTCAGGGAGCGGGTCAGCCAAGCAGTAACTGAAAAGTTCACCTTAATCATCAATCCCTAACCAAGCTGAGGATCCCAAATATTCGCTGAAAAGGCCCAGCACGCTCATCTCCCACAGGAGGGAAGAGAACCAGTAATCTTCGTTCAGTGGGCCACCCTTACAGCCTAGAAACCAAGTGAGGTCAAGTCTAGCGCACAGCAGTCCCAAATCCAACTTTCCCATAACATTCCTGTACAATGAGGAACCAGATAATTCACAAATCCTTTGGATACATGCCAGAGGCGTCAGTGCTGGCAAGTCAGATAATTTCTGGGGAGCGATGAAATGTAATATGAGCAGCAGCAGCAGCAGCAGGTCTCCCGCGCTCATGCCCTGGGTTGCCCTCCGCCTCCCACTGAAGGGCCATTTCACCACACACAGCAGGAAGGGGCAGTTTCCTGCGTCCTGGCCCCTCGCAAAGCCCAAATCACCAGGCCTCTGGGCTGTGGAGGGGTGCCTGTCTCTGGGCCCCTCCATTTCACGGGGCGCAGCAGGCGGGGAGTCCCGCGCGGAGAGCCCCAGAAGCAGCAGACCACCGCTGTCTCTGCGGCTCTGGGGCCGCCGCCTCTTGCTTCCGACCCGCAGCGGACACGAAGGTGACGCCAGAGGGCGGTGAGAGGCCCGGGAGGCCTTGGACGCGGCGCCTCCAAGCCTCCAGTCTCCAGGGACACACGACCCCCGCCCCGCCGCCCTAGCTCCCTCTCGGCTTGGACTCCCCTCGCAGCTGGCCTCAGGTCTCCTAGCTCCCGCCCGGCCCGGCCTCCTCCCGTTCCCGCCCCTGCCGCCCTCGCTTCCGCCCGGGCCCTGACCGTTGAGGCAGGTGGCGGGCTGCGGGCAGAGCGGACTGTTGCAGGGCACGCTGGGCCGCAGGTAATGCTCTCGCACGATGCGTAGCGTCCGGCCCTGGAAGGTCCTCAGAAGCAGCACCTTCTCCCGCTTCTGCAGCATGGTGGCGGCGCTCGGCCGGGCAGAGCTCCGGGGCCCGCGAGGCCGTGCGGAGAGGGCGGCCGGGAAGCACCGAGCGCCGCGCGGCGTGGGGAGGGAGGCGAGGCCGCGGCTTCGGGCCCGCCCCCTCGGCCAGGCTCCCGGCCTGACCTGGCCCTCCCGGCAGCTGCCGGAAAGTGCCCTGGGGTTGAGGGCTGGAGGTGGCCCGCGGGAGGGGTGGTCCTTCCCGCCCCGGCTGGCTCCCCCTGCCCTGCCTCAGTTTCTCCCCTCCCCACAATTGCCTGCGGGTAAGGATGGTAAGACTTCAGAGATGAGATAATATATGGAAGCTAGTTTAAAGTCCTGTGAGAAAGATTTGGTGCTACCATAGAGGATTATTATACTTTGTTTCTACACCCAGGTCCATATGGAAATGGGCAGCTGTATTAATAATATGGGTAGTTATAAGTGTTTTCTGTTTGTTGCTCTTGCTGTCCCTGAAAGAGCTAAAAGTTGCAGCAAATAAGCCCGCAGCTCTTCCAGCCCAACATTTTTCCCCTTCAAAAAGTTGTATTTATTTTTAATTTCATGCATGTATTTTTAATCCATATAAAAATTCAAACAATGCAGAGAGAATGAAAACCAATTCATTCCCTTAAGGTAAATGCTGTTTATTTAACCCTAACTTTATATATAGTATTTGCAGCCTCTGGCAAAGGAATTTTTCTTGAAATTTGATGGAGGCTCGCACATAGTCTGCTCTGAGATCACACACCCTTGGCTGGAAAGAAGCCAGCGTTCTTCCAAGCTCTCAACAAAGACTTTTGAGCTGCACCAGAAGCTTTATATACAAGTGTCACGTTTAATTTCCACAAGTCAGTGGAGTTGGGCATTATTATCCCCATTTTACAGGCGATGAAACAGGATTAGGGAGGTGAAGTGACCAAAGTTATCCGACTATTAAGTGGTGGAATCAATATTCAAGCCAGAATCTGGCTGAATCCAAAGTAGGCGCTTAACTAATTACCGAGCTATTCATTGATGAATAAAATATAGCTCTTGTATCTGAAGAGTTTATAGCCTGCTTGTTAAGCTCTAGTTCAGGCAGCTCAACCAGCTGGCTTGGGAACATGGGAGCTTCCTGTTACGCTGCAGTGAGCAGAACCAGGGTGTTCTGTTGGATCACTTTCTTTTACTCTAGGGGGACATATTAAAGAGAGTTGTGGTTCCTTGCTCGTATTTTTATGTCAAGTTATCTGCAGTGTGGGATAATGTGAGTGAGATCTGAGATGGAATTGCACAAGTTAGGAAAACATTACAGTGCTGGTTCACAGACCAGAGCCCTAGGAGGTTCCATAAAGCAACCAACAGTGCAGGAGGCCCTCCTTAATTCAGATGATCAGCTCTAGAGATCCCAGAGGACAGGCAAGTAGCCAAATTTGTCCCCTACATAAAAATACTTCTGACAGCAGCCCACAGTTCCCTCCAAAGCTCTCCCGTTTTCATTTTTCTTTTACTTCTGATTTTATGTCCTTAACATCTCTCTTTGGCATTTTGTAGCTTTAAACTTTCTCTAAATTCAGACTAATGATCTTTTAAGGAAGAGAGTGTGTGTCTGGCACTGTATTGAACGTTGATTTTATCAGTATTTAAAATAATCCAAGGCCCATCAAGCACTTCCTTTGCTTACATTGAGGCAATGGTGTATAATTTATGTTCTTAAAAGCAGGACCCCTTGGTTCTTGGAACTGATGATCTAAAATGGACAAGAATGCCTTTTTGTTGGCTTGTTGGTTCACCGACCATCTGATGCCTCTTGCCTGAAAAAAAGGGTGTCTAAATCAGTCAGAATAAACTAGGTTATGCTGCAGTAACATACTACTTCAAAAACCCCAGTGGCTTAAAACAACAAGATGTGTAGGTGCTTAGGGGCTCCACTCTATTGTTCTCCAGGATCAAGGCTGATGGAGCCAGTCTTCTCTGGAATACTGTTTGCTATTCATTGGCAAAGGGGAAAGAGCCCTCTAGACAGCCTTACCCCTGAATTGACCATATTTCCCCATGTATAAGACACACCTTAATTTTTGGACCCGAAATGTGAAAAAAAACGTATTACATAAAGTTATTGAACTCGTTTTATTCATCATAAAATTCATACAACTCCTCATTACTTGCGGGAAATGCAAGTAAAATAATCTACAACCACTGTGTAAGAAGCACCCAGTTTTTAGACCCCAAATTTTTTGAAAAAGGGTGCGTCTTATACATGGGGAAATACAGTAATAGCTCAGTCTGGAAGGAAGTGATAATGTCACCTCTACCTATTGGCTGGAACTAGTCACATGACCATACACTTAAAGGCAGAGTGCTGAAAGAAACCCTTTGGTGAGCAGCATTAGTGACTACTTGAGTGCCTCCAACTCATCCCACTTAGTCTGCTCTGCCGTCACCTTAACCCTTGTGTCTGTGACTACCCCAGCTCAGCCCACTATCCAGTCTGTTGGGCATTCTGCTCACCTCTTTTTACATCCTTACCCACCTTCCCAGTAGCCAATAAGCCAAGCATACATCACTATATCATCTTTAATCCTTATTGCAATCCTTCAAGGTAAGTGTGCGGGTTTTTATGGCAGAGACTGACTTTTTACTCACTGAATCCATGTCCTCTTCTCTGGGTACACAGAAGAACCACATTTTCCATGCATATACATAGGTGTGCCACCGAATGTAATGACACCATTTCCAGGACTGATCCATAAAAACCTCCCATGAATGCTCCTCTTTCCTGTTCCACCAGCTGGACGCCAAAGCCCAGAGGATCTTGAAAGCTAGCACTGAAGACAGCAGACCCTTTTCCGCCACCATCAATGTGGGTCCCAGAAGAACTGTGCAGAGCCCTGCCTCCCCCACCCAGGGGCATCACAGGGGATTATTGCAAGGGAGAAAGAAACTTTTGTTATAGCAGCTTAGAATTATCCTAGCTAATACACACCTACTTTACAAAGGAGATTAAAGGCTGAAGAGTTACTTATTTGTTCAAAAAAATCCCTCACTAGATATTAAATGTCTTGAAGAAATGAAAAGAATCCTGCTCAAGGATTCTACAGCAGTTCTAAATTGTACAGTCCTTTAGGATGTGGGAGAGCAGCAGTGCTTTTAGGGTGCTCTGGTTTGGTCTGAGCTACTGTGCCACAGCAGTGCCACACTGGGAAGGATGCTTGGCGGCTTGCTTCTCTTTTCAGGTTTCCCCTTCCTTGTCAATTCAAGTGCCGATGGACAGCCTGGTGTCCAGATAGCAGAACGCTGCAACAGCTTTCAGCCCTCTGTTACTGATGGAAATCTCGATGGTGGCTCGGTTTCCCTGGTGCACAACTGCAGTCCTCTTAAGGCTGAGCACCAGCGTGCTTACTTTGCAGGAGTCTGTAGCATTTGCATGCCTTTTACAGATGTGCTCTGTGAGTGCAGACATCAGCAACCACTGGATTAGAATCAAATGGTCTCATCAAAAGGTTAGCCTAGAGAGGGTAGGGTGTCTTTACAAAGGGCTAAGAGGACAAGGAGGTTAAATGTATAAAAGGAATTCTGGAAGATGAGCTCCAAGGGCTAGAGTGGATTACTGAAGCAGGCTTTGAAATATTCTGTCTTTTGATTTATCTATTTAAAATTACAATAGTACAACATGCTTGTTGCAACAAATTCCAATAATACTGAAGTATGCCAAGTCAAAATGAAGTTCCGCTTGCATCCGAAATCTACTTCTCCCAAGTAATTTACCATTGTTGAAGCTGGTATGCGCCTTAGCTGTCATTAAATATAACCCCACATTTGCAACTTTTCAAAGAGCTTGTCAATCTATGCAGTATCAGCTAATTACAGCTAGTGTTTCTCAAGTCTTACCAGGTGCCAGTCACTGCTCTAAGCACTTTTCTTGTGTTTTCTTATTTAATCCTCAAAACAATGCCTTCACTGTGATAACTGTTACAACTACATTTCACAGGTGAGGAAACTAAAGTACAGAAGGACTGAGACAGGCCACACGCTGAATGTATGGCAAAGCCATACTTGGACCCCAAGCAGTTTGACTGCAGAGTTCAGGCAGTAATGACTCAGCAATTCCACCTTTCAGCTAGTAAATGGTGAGTTACAGAATGGGGGTACGTTCCATACAGTGGACTGTGGATGAACCCAGTTATTTTAGGGTTAGGGATCTGGGAACAATGCCATTCAAATATTGACTGCTACTCCTTTTGTAATTTCCTGAGCGTTAGTGATTTCCGCTATAAAATACAGCTAACTTGACAGATGTTGCTGGCCCTATTACCAAGTCAATGATTCTAAAGGGTCATGTAAATGGCTAAAATTATCCTATTTATCTGAAGAATCAGCTAACTTTCAGTTGTGCACCATCTCAGTGGAAGAGTCATTGGGAGGCAAAGGGCTGTTTAGATTACTTTGCTACTTGTATTAAGGATAATTTAATTTCCTATATGTTAAAGGCTGTTAATCCTTGATTTTCACTTTTCCCAGCAGATACAATAGCTCCCTTTTGGCTTTCTAAACACCCTGTGAATCCCTGTAATCCACTTTGCAATGATTACTCTAAAATGTTCTGCTTAACTCTTTCTAAAAATTATTTTGTACTTACCAATTTGTATCTCAGCAAGATTTTTATTGTACTGTAGTTAACCTACCAATAATTTTGTCCTTGTACCACTAAGAGGCGCTGTTCATTGTTTTTTGGGTGGTTTTTTTTTTTGGTGTAGGGTGAGGGTCCTTTTCTTCTGTGTTGGTATCTGAGTAGTTGAAATGTGGCCTTTTATATACTACCTTTAAAATGCATCCAGTTATTTGAGACAAAAAACAAACAAACGAAAAACCTTAATATTAAACAATACATTAATTCAAGGCACTCAAAGGTTCAGATGCTCCAAAATTACTTAGAAACTAAGCTTCATTGATTAATACAGAAAGAAAAAGAAAATCCTCTAAGTCTTAAGAATAAGACTAGAAAATCCTTAAGAATAAGACTAGAAGAAAATTCAGTTGCATGGATAACCATTTATAATTCAAAAATAGAAAGATTGCTATTTGTCATTTAATTTTTTTGTATTGATGTTATTTGATGAAATTAAAATTTTCATTCACCTTGTAGGATTATTACTACCAGTGGAATACAAGTCATGGTATATATTAATAGTTATTTTAGTGGAGGGATGTATTACAAGGAGTTTTCCTGTTTATTTTACTATGTTATTACTGCATATATTTGAATTTGGGAAAGTGAATTCAATTTTATGTCTTATAATGATAGACTATGAATCTAAAGTCTTATAATTACAATAGAAAACTTGTGAAAAAAATAGAAGAAAGAAAAAGGGATACTTAGCAATGATCCTAACCTCTAGGAAACCTTCCAGGTTTGGGATAAATATAAACGAAATATTTAAAATTTCAATTTAACTTTTATTTAATAAAGAAAATGCATATTAAACTACACTTTTGTAGCTGGTTTTTAAGGAAGAAGAATAAGGGCTGAAAGGTAAAATTACATTTATACTGGACTTTCTCTATATTTTAGGCCAGAGCAAAGTACACTGTATCTGCTTGTGTTAGATTTCTACAAACTTAGCCGTGTAAAACACACTCATTTATTATCTCAGTTTCTGTAGGTCAGCAGTCTGGGCATGGCCAAATTAGGTTCTCTACTCAGGGACTCACAAGACGGAAATCAAGGTGTCGACTGGACTGATTTCATTCTGGAGCTTGGGGTTTTATTGCAAGCTCTCAGGGTTGTTAGCAGAATTCAGTTCCTTGCAGTTGTAGGACTGAGGCCCCTGTTCTCTTGCTGGCTCTTAGGCAGGGACCACTCAAAGCTCCTAGAGGCCACCATACAGTTCCTTGTCATACGGCCTCTTCCATATGACCTCTCATACTTGGAATCTTTCACTAGAAGAACCCAGTCTCTTTAAGAACTCACCTGATTAGGTCAGACCCATTGACAATAATCTATTTTAAGGTCAACTGATTTGGGAACTTAATTGCATCTGCAAAATCCCTTTATAGCAGCATCTATGGTAGATTAATGTTTGACTAAATAACCTAGAGAAGGTGAGTGTACATCAGGGCACAGGAATCTTGGGGGATATCTAAGAATTCTGCCAATCTGTCTTAGTCCATTCAGGCTGTTATAACAAAATACCACCGACTGGGTAGCTTGTAAATATAAGAAATTTATTTCTCACTGTTCTGGAGGTTGGAAGTCTGAGATCAGGGTGCCAACGTGGTTGGATCAGGGCCCTCTTCTGATGACAGACTTCTTATTGTATCCTCATATGGCAGAAGGGGCTACAGATCTCTCTGGAGCTTCTTTTTTTTTTTTTTCCTAGATTTTTTTTTTTTAATTGGGGAATTGGGGGAGGGGAACAGACAAGTTGCTGTACTTTTGTTCTTCAGTCTAGTTGTGGAGAACATCGCTTCAATGGCCCATGTTGGTATTGTGATCATTGCGCTCTTCCCAGCAAATCGGTCGCCGGCCCTTGGACGGCCACTCACGGCGGCTCACGGCAGCCCAGCTCCAGGTCGAACCACCATTCACCATCTTAGCTGTAGAGGGCGCAGTGTCACTGGCCCATGTGGGATCCGAACCAGCAGCCCCACTGCTCAGAGCTCATGCTCCCAAGCCAACTCTTAAACAACGAGCCATTCAGCTGGCCCTGGAGCTTCTTTATAAGGCACTAATCCCATCCATGAGGGTTCCACCCTCATGACTTAGGTATCTCCCAAAGGTCCCACCTACTAATACTATCCCCTTTGGAATCAGGATTTCAACATGTGAGTTTGGGGAGGACACAAACATTCAGACCATAGCACTACAATAATAATTTATAAACATTTGATCTCAATAAATTATATTTAAAATTATGATATTTATTAAGTATCTGAGAATAGCATACATGATGTTCGTAAAAAAGAAATGAGAGAATGAAATCAGTAATCCAGAGGCTATAACAAAAGTAAATGAATGATACTGCCTTGGGTGTTTCAAGCTAAGAGGGAGAAAACTCCACCAATACAAACCCACATTCTTTTAATCTTAAGTAGCAATGATTTCCACCGGGCCCACCCAGAATTCACTCAGGAATCATTGCATAGAGTCTAGTTCCCATAGCTAGCATAGGATCCACTTACAGAGGGCAGTGTGTCTGGGGGTTCTTGGGTTCTAGTGGGGAACCATCTTCTTTTGTCTCACCCCTCAGTTCCTACTTAAGAGGAGTGTTGCTGTATCCCCCAGATTAGAATCCATTCTTTTTTTTTTTTAATTTTATTGGGGAACAGCCATGGTCACTGGTTACACATTGCTTTCATGCTACAATGGCGTAATTGACTCTTTTAGGGTGGGCGCAGCTCACAGTGGCCCATGTGGGGATAGAACCGGCAACCTTGGTGTTATCAGCTCCATGCTCTAACCAACTGAGCTAACCTAGAATCCATTCTTAAAACCCCACTGTGACAGGTGATAGGAGGCCCTGGAATATTTTGAAGATTTGAATTTTAAATATAAAATATCATCATCATAGGTGTCCTTCATTGTGTGCCTGACTGCCATCATCCAGCTTGGGAGAGTGGGAGACTGCCAGTATTTTCTGCCTATCTTCCATGTAGAATTTTGATTGGGTCAGAGCCATGATTAAGGAAACTTCTCTTATTGCAGTGTTTGGGTGGGGGGAAAGCAGGAGAGTTTTCTTTACATTTTTTCAATTAAATATCATATTTTCAGAGATGTCATTTAAAAATATTCTTCTCTCCTGGAGAGAAAAGGCTGGGATCTTCAATAGCTTTCATTGAAACTATAAGACTCTTGTTATATTTGCTGTTTTAGCCTTCAAGGTCTTATCTTTTCTGACTGAGTACTGAAGGCATTTTGACCCTCTTCCAGTCCTACAAAGTTCTTTAATCAGCTTGAAGCATCACTGTTGATCAGAGAAAAGCACTTCCTCCCTCCATAAAGCAAACAGCACCTGCCAATTCCCCTATCCAGGAACTTGAGAGAAGGGCTGTTCTTTGAGCCCACAGAGCGCCTATATTTCAAATGTACAGAAAACCATAGAAAATAACCTGAAACCCATTGCCTCATTAATAGACAGAGAATAGAAGAATTTACAGACTTAAAAGCAGGGCCATTGACCCACAAACCCACCAAACATTTATTTATTTTATGGCTAGTGTGATATTGAAAACATGGTGTTTCATTTACACTGGCATTAAGTTCATCACCTTAGTAAAAATGTAAAAAGGATAAATGACTACACAAGAAATAAAAGTGGATTGTTAATCATATTGTTGATTAATACTGAGTAGGCTATAATAAACCACACTTTTCTCTTTCAAGCTATTTGTTTTAAGCTTTCTTCAATTTTGGAAGAATAGGGTGTGTATATATTTATATTTATATATATGAGATAGATATATATATATATGATATACATCATATATGTGATGTACTCATATAGATGTAAAATCAGTTCTGATTGGCTGGGTTATGCTGCAGTAAAGCCCTCCAGTCTCAGTGGTTTAAAAAAACAAAGGTTTTGGGCCAGCAGAGTGGCTCATTGGTTAGCAGTTGGCTTGGGATGACAGCTGTGAGCAGCAGGGCCCTGGTTCGGATCCCATATATGATGGCCAGTGACACTGCGCCCTCTACAGCTAAGATGGTGAAAAACAGATCAATATGGAGCTGGGCTGACGTGAGTCGCCAGCGTAGGCTGCAGTGGGGCTGGCGGGCAGTGGGCATCAGCTTTCGTGAGCTTTCGTGAGCTGCCGCCCAATAGCTGGGAAGAGCGCAATGATAATACCAACATGGGCCAGTGAAGCGGCGTCCTCCACAACTCGACTGAAGAACAAAAGGACAGCAACTTGTCTGTTCCCCTTCCCCCAATTCCCCAGCGCTGTTCCCCTCCCCCAATTCTCCAATAACATCTTTAAAAACAAAAACAAACAAAACACCCCCAAAGGTTTATTTCTTGCTCACACCATATGACCTCCTGCCCTGTGTTAGCCTTACCAAGAGACCTACTATGTTGATGGAGGTTCCCTGTTAGTGCTTCTGCAATTGCTTGGCTGAGGAAAAGAATGCGAT